TTACCTATCTCCTTTATCAGTTAAGAACACACACACACAAATATACACATCTACACACACCACCACACACTAGCACTCTCTGGTCTTGCTCGGCGACCCCGTCCACTTCCYTTGARTCRCTATATACACGTATACACATTTACACAGGTCGGTCGGTGTGTGCGTGCGCTACGAAGTASTTGGGTAACCGGGCGCGCGTATTATTATCTTACGCTTCCGGCCCGTTCAATTATATTATATCAAATAATAAACTCTCAAGTCTCAACAATTATCTTGCGATTCGCACTTTGCACTCTGCAGTTGATTAATAATTAATTTTCGTCTGATCATATTTTAAATCATGCCTAAGTGGGCAAAGTACACCAGAAAGTTTGTCAAAGAGTGGGCAAATAAAGCAGAATTTAAAGGTACCTATAACTTAAGTAAAGTGTAGTATAGATTTTAATAACTAATAACTTAAATATTAATTAATTTAATTTAGGATGGCTCAAGAAGGCGACAGATGAACAATCAGCGAACAATGATTTTAAAGAAGCGTATTGTTCTGTTTGTAATACAGTGTTGAGAGCACACCATGGTGATTTAATTAGCCATAGTAAGACTTCAAAACATGTTTTTAAAATGAAATCTTTAGTTGTTAAAACACAACCAAAATTAATTACTTATGGTAAGAATTTTGTTTTTATATTTATTGCATGAATATTATGTAGGTACATATTTATTATAGGAGTAAGTAATGTCTCCAGAGAAAATAAACATATAGATATAATGCTTGCTGTTCACATTGCTACTCATTCATCAATTCGTAGTATTGATCATCTTGGTGAGATGTTGAAAGTATTTGGGAAAGGCTCGAAACTAGAAAATTTGAAAATGCATAGAACTAAATGTTCTAAGCTAATATTAAATGTATTATCGCCAGCTATAACTGAAGATCTAATAACAGACATTGGGGAAATTGGATACTCCTTGATAGTAGATGAATCAACTGATGTTTCTGTTATGAAGTACATGGCATATTGTATTAGGTATTTTAGTAAATCAACAAACCAAATACAAAATGAGTTTTTGGGCTTGGTTGTAGTTGAATGTGCTACTGCTGTAGCGTTATATGATGGAACAATTGAATTTTTGAAGCTCTTAAAGCTGAATCCCCTAAATTTAATTGGGTTAGGTGTTGATGGCGCTAGTAATCTGTGTGGTATGAATCATTCTCTATTTACACTTCTACGAGAAAAATCACCAAAACTTCAATTAATTAAATGTGTTTGTCATTCACTTAATACTTGTTCATCTAAGGCATCTGAAGGTCTACCTAGTCACATTGAATTTATGCTAAGAGAATCTGTTTCTTGGTTTTCGCACAGCCCTCTTCGTCAAATAGAATACAGTAGACTTTATGCGACAATAAACGGTGCAGAATGTAAACAAAGGCGTTTGGTCAAACTTTGTGCTACTCGATGGTTGGCTTTTTATAATTGTATAAAAGTTGTTCTTGACCAATCGCTTRAACTGAAAACCTGTTTTCAAATGGCAGCACAAAAAGAAAAATGTTATAGTGCAGGTCATAGCTTTTTGTGAAGCAATACTATAACTTTCTGTAAATAAATACAAATTTTAATAAAATGTGTCTTCTAGTGTATATATGTCTATATATGATATCATTTCAATATAATATTTACCAATATCTTTCCCCATTTTTCGCGCAGCAAAGAAATTAAAATCCAATACATTAGGATAAACTCTTTTTTGAATCATTTGTTTAGTGTTCTTTTTTGGCCAAGCACATTTATGGTTTTTAAACCAATAATTTGGTACAGCTTCGACAGTTTTATCATCCAAAAATTCTACTATTGACCACATATTGTAAAATAGTTACTGGAATAATAATAATGAAATAGTTAAAAATTGACTAGAAGAAGAATTAATTTTATATGTCCTAATTTTATTTAAGAATTGCAATTGACAATACATGACAATCAAGATTKATGCAAACTGATTATTTAACATTTATCTTTTTTATTTTTAAAATTAATAACACTGATGATTTGAAAGATAATTAATTGTTAGACTACATATTATTAGGTTAGGTATATTATTATTTAAAAATAACACATTATACTTTAAAACTTAAAAAATACTATTTAATTACAATAACTGTTTTATAATTCTACCCTAAAAACAATGTTAAGTACAAAAAAATATCAAATTACTTTTATACATACAATTTTAATAGTTATATAATATACTAATAACAAGAAGTATGTAGTAACGGYAAGGCTATAAATTGATCACCGGAAGGAAAAACTATCATTTTATTTTTAATCTCATTAATCGAGTAACAATAAAATTCATGGCTTAATGTATTAACAGTATAAATATCTAACTCGGAAGATACAATTGGTTTATCAAATAAAATATTATTGTTTTAAAAAATTTTACAAATTAAACACACTRTGTCATTTTTTTCTTTTACAATATTTAAAACTTTAACTACTATTTTCTTATGTGTCAATAAGAAACAGTCGGCTTCTACATTTGTTTTAATTGTTAACTGTTTCATTTTTAATGTAGTGAACTGGGATCCTTGAATATTTTCGGTAAGTGGTCCATGTTTATGAAATCCAGAAAAATTAAAAGCTGCAGTTATTTCATTTTGATAATAAGGTTTTAACAAATTTATTTCATTACATTTCTTAACTACTTGGATAAGTGGCTTGTCTGGTTTTCTTATTAAGTTTTTTAAAGTACTCATGTAGCTTTCGAAAGGAAACGTAGAGCAATTATCCAGAGGGCCAAATTTAATATAATCACCGCAAATATGGTTTAACCCATGCACATTATGTGATATAAGATGACCTCCATACAAAATTTCAAATTGCTTAATAAAATTATCCAATATTTTCCTTGCGATATTAATATAATGTCCATAGTTAGGGCTTAGTAATATTATCATACATAAGCTTAAGTCAAAAAAGTTTTTCCAATGCTCCTTTGATATGATCGACTTAGTTGTAGAAGAACCCAAATACAATAAAAATGTCCTGAACTCAGTAGCTTTCYAATTTTTTAATAAAGCCAAACTCCGAGGTTTTCTGTTTATTTCACAAGGTATGTTTTTTCTTAAACCTACTAGAGTTTTTGATATTTCTTCTATTTTCCAAGATGGATAACGAACAGTCAATGGACCTTTAATCCACAAATAAATAATTTTTCGAACGACCCCTAAGCAAATTAAATGTTGATAATCCATAGAAAAATCAGCAACAACATCAAAATATGGCACAGTAACTAAAATGGAAATATTTCCAGTATGATATTCTTCGTCAGATCGAGAAATATAATTTTGATGTGTTCTCTTGGCTGGTTGATTACCTGATGTATGCGGAAAAGTTATTCGATTCAATAAATATTTTCCTTCATGTTCACACCTTGAGCAAGAAGAGAAACCGGAGTGGCCTTTAGTTTGCAGTATAAATGACTTAGCCGGGGCATCACAACATAGAACATCTATTATAACTTTAAATTGTTTTCCATTTATCTTAATACCACTGTTATGTAATTCATTTAWRTCGTCTACAAAATATTTAAAAAAAGCATTRCTGTCATAAGGTTTTCTATTTCCACAATATATTCCTATTGGAAATACATTATTACTATTTGGTCGAATATAGGCGAGTATTGGCCAAAATTCTTCTGCCGTTGATTTAAATAACGGTAGGCCATCTATACCTGCCACTATTTTAATAACCAAAGTATTGTTTTGTAAACTAGATGGAAAATGTTGTTGAATAGCATTAGCTAAACCAAAATGATAGTAATTACCAGGTTCTACGGTATGAAAATTTGAGTTGTCTAATGCTTGAGTTTGTAAGATTATCCTAGAATCTTTAGGTAAATTTTCAAAACAGGTATGTTGTCTCAAGACAACAAGTAAACTATTAAGAGCACACTGTGTTATTTTAAAATTTATAGCCCATTCAGCTAATAACGATACAAAAATTGATGTCTTACCATATTTATAATTATTTGATTTACAGTCATTATTGTGTTCATCTGACGAAGACTCACTTTCACTATTACCACTAATACTAATTTCTGATAAAAATCTAAAGCTTCATTACTTGAATAATCTTGAAAAATTGATTCATTTGAACTTCTTTGTGGAGGTATAAAATTAGCATTTTCATAAGAAATAATAGAAGTAGATACACACACTTTCGAATTTCCTGCTGGGACAAAATTGATTTTTGATGAATTAGATCCTGGACTAACATTACGATCATTCACGGGGACTGAAATAAATGAAGCTATGTTTCTGAGTTCATCTTCAACTCTTCTTCTCTTAGATCGGCTACTTAAGTTCGACAGTTTTTTATATGACATAACTATAGGATTGGTATAAAATGTTACTTTATTAATTAGTTACCATTTCAATCAATAATAAAATAAAATAATTTAATTATTTAAGTGATATAAATCACTTAAGTAAAAACAATAAAACAATAAAAATGGTTAGGACGTTACATATTTTAATTTGTATTTTCACTAGTTAAAGTAGGCACCTAATGGAATTAAATAGAAAAGATAATAAACATGCTAAATCAACTTTTTTAAAGTTTCAAAATACAGAATAATTTATATTATATTTTTAAGAATGCTTGATGATACTTTAAATCCATTGCTTACATTTAATAAATATTATCTTAGCATTGGTTTATTATTTAAATGTTGTAATGGTAATGTTCATTATATTGTTAGATTATGTTACTTATGTCTATGTGTGTGTATGTCTCCAAACAAAAATTGTAACATGATGTTAGGTCTATAATTAATTTATCAAATAAACAAATAATTTTACAAATATAGTGGTAGGATTATTTAAAATTGTATAATAACAAGCAATTCACATTAAAAATAAACAATTGTAATAAAAACACAAATACAATAGGTATTATATATCTAGATAAGTAATTTAATATCTGCTTATAAATTATAATATAGTTCTAACTAAACTAAACAATGTATGCAGTTATTAAATATTAGCATTGAACTAAAATGTCTTAATCTAAAACTCTTATTATGTTAATGTTAATTTGTCTAAATTTATCAATATTGAATAGGAAGGTTAAAAATATTGATAATTTTAACGAATTACTATGAGCTATTATTTATTTTAACGATTTGTACATTTTATAGTATTAGTATACCTATCTGAGATCAATACTTAACAACCTTATTTAACTATTTAACAGTTAAATTATTACATTATGCAATCAATGTATTTATAGCAAACATTTTAAAAATTGTACCTAGGTAAATCAAAATATCTAAACATAGGTAACACAATTTGACGTTCTTGTACGATTTAAAACATTAATAGGCCTTAAAGGTGTTAATCTATAATTTATAATATAATAATAATATATACCTAGTTCAAAGGCCCCACACACTGCAGCGGTAGCGGTGGCGGTTACGGCAATATGAAGCAGGACACAATTTTATCGCCATCACGGCGGTATAGCCAAGACAAAAGAATTTTACCGCCACCGCTGCAGTGAGTGGTGACCTTTATTTGGGAAATACATTTTGGCAAGACGTAGGTATTAGGTAATAACTGTACTTATTTCAATAAGTCAGTAGGTACCTATTCTTAAATATGTAGGCGTATTTAAATAATCAGCTTGCTTTAATCGTAAATCAYCTACTTGGTATTATTATATTATATATATCATAATAAATACTCTAGTTTAATTGATATTACCATAGTTTGAAATAAAAGTAATTAATATAGGTAGTAGTAAATATAATATGATCTTACCTGCTGTTGAACTCGTTGAAGTCAAAGTAAAAAGTCAAAGACCAAAGTAAAAGAAATCAAAACCAATAACAAATAACAATATGGTACTCCGGGTACTCAGAAGTAAGAATAGTCGGAACGTCGGAACGTGGACGCGAGTAAAGACTAATAATCCAGTCAATAGGGGGTTTTGCCTTGCAAAAAATACTAAAGTTTTGGTACTTGTGCGTTATCGCGACTACCTTGATTTCGAACGCAACATATTTTTAATGTGTTTATAATAATACAAAACTACCCAAAGCTATAATGTCAATGTCTTTATTGATAATACGAAAACAATTATAAAATATAATAATAAAGTCAAATTTATACGTCAACAATTACGAGTAAAATTGTTGATGTATTTTTGACATCAAAGTAGCAGAAGACCGATCAGGAACTTCTACTAAAAATACCTCTTTTGTTTCACGGCATATTCCGCCGAAAATACATTGCTGGGGAAGTATTCTTCCACAATTATTTTTACGTTTAGTGAACAAACTTTCGTCAATTTCCACTATTTTTCCTTTTCCTCCAATTTTTTTATTTTCTCATTCTCTCAAAGTTATAACACATACTTCCCGTAAATAATTATTCCAATCATTTACCGTATTATTGCTAAGTTGTAAGTGTTTTTCACAAAATTTCACTGAARTCATTTCCTCTGTCCAACAAAACATGAAACGTAAAGCTTGCACAAATGATATGCGACTATTCACAAACCAATTGGCAACACGCATGT